ATTTTCCTTAATTTTTTATTTTAGGATTCTCTGTTCCATTTTATCACATGAGAACCACTTAGGTTTTGTTAGTAAGCCCATTAGGTTTATTGAGAAAAGAAATTAAGTTTGCTCAGTTCTTTCTAATCTTTTATCTATTGATGGATTTTTATATTGTTAAAATGTTAAAAAATAAGTAATTTATTTTGAAAGTTAAGTAAGATAACAACAAAGAAGTAACTTTTTTTTTTCTTTAAAGAAAAACAATTAAGTTATTTAAATATATTTAAAATAAAAATTTATTTTAGTTTTTTTTTTTTAATACGTGTCCATTCAATCCAGTTAGGTAGGCTAAAGATCTATTCACAAAAAAAAAAAAGGATTTAGTAAGTTGGCTTGTCAACCATTGAGCTTTATAATTCTTGAAGTCAACTTTCAGGCTTAATCCTTAACTTAATTTTCCTTATTTAATTTATTAATTATTCTATCTCACAAGTCACATTATTGTTAACATATTTTGTTCATAACAGCTAAGCGCCATTACTAGGGTGTCCAAAAATCCCGAACCGAACCCGACCCGAACCGAATCGAGCGGTTCTTCATAAATTAAATACATGAACGGATATCCGAATCGAGAACCGATGTGTTTGGGTCGGGTCTCGGGTCTAGACCAAGAACCAAAGATTCGAATAAGAATCGAAACCAAATAATTTTTTTATTTTTTATATTGAATTAATTAAATTATTTTATTTTTTTATACAAATTAGCAAATTAATTAAATAAATCAGATTATTTCATAATTTTAATTTTAAAGCCTAAATCATTTTTAAAACTCATTAACCCATTTTAATTTGAAGCAAATGAATATACTTTATGTAGTTTTGCTATAATATTAATATCTACTTTTTAGTATTTGTATGCGTTGAATTAATCTTATTGGACGGCTAGTTATTTATATGTTTTTGAATTGAGCTACGTTAATTTGTAAAAGTTACGAATGAAATGTCATTAGTTGTATTTATGTAGTGTTACTGTAAATATTAAAAAAATTGATTATGGTACGGAACCGAACGAAACCGAACCGACCCGAACCGAACCGAACGGAACCGAACCCGAACGGTTCCATAATTATATTTGGACCCGACGGGTCCATTTATTAAATACCCGAAAGTTTTGGGTCGATTCGGGTCTCTTCAGAACCAAATCGACCCACGAACAGCCCTAGCCATTACAGTTGTTGCATAATTTCCAAGTATTTACACTAAAATATTTGTAGCTGTTGGGACCAAATTTTATTATACACCTTAGATTCAATAATAAATATTTGACTAAACAACGACACCTTAGATTCAATAATAAATATTTCGTTTTCATAATTAAAAACTTGCAAATGGGTGCACGTAAAAATTGTTAAAATACTTTTCAATTTGAACGTATGAATATAAAATAAAAAGCTGTCTTCTCTTAATGATCCTCCAACAAGATTTCTTTAGATAAATCCTTGAGAAAGAGACCATTAAAATGAAGTTGTTGTGAAACAAATAACTTGATTAAGATGTTGAAATTATATGGTGAATAATAATGAAATATATGATCAAGTAAAAGAATAATAAAGATTAGAATATGACAGATGAATTAAGAGATTTTATTGACTCAAGAATAATGGAGAAGAGAGAGAAAAATTATAATAAATCCCATAATTTTAGTAATCTATTTTCTCACGCCTATAAAATTATATAGAAAAACCTAATATTTATAGGGAATATTTAAGAGGCATCCAAACCATCTTGGTAGAGTTGTCGATAAAGTAGGATGCCAAAAATTGAGTCCAAAACAAAGTAGGAGAAGAAAACGCTAAAAAACCTGAACAAAACAGGTGGCGTCCACATCCGGGCTCTACGGCGCGGGGCAATCTATTCGATTTTTTTTGCTCAAATTGTTTTCTTCATCTCAAACTTTTCTTCAAGTCGAATACCAATTTTCAATTCTCAATGGGCTTCCAAAAAATAGAACTTTAACTTGATATAGGACTCCGATAGTATTCAAAACTTGAATTCTCCTTGACGTGCACTTCAATTAGAATTTTTCAATACTTCAAATACTTCAACAATAACCAATAAATTAATCTATCCAACAAAACACGATAGTCCACCTCTTCCAATGAATCCAAGCACTACTCTTGTAGAATTATTTCAAATTTCCAAAAATCATAACAATTTTATAATTTACCAAGTTGGGCTGTAACACACCCCAAAACATAATCAAACCCAAATGTTTTTAAAGAAAACCCCTTGTTAGATTGTATACCTTCTACTCCACTTAAAGTGTGGTCAACAAAATCAGCATCTACATACCTTAGTCCACTGGGTCTGTTTCTAGCAATTGAATACAATGGCACCGCAGGTGATGGTGGCAAAGCGGCATTATCAACATCTCCTAAACTCCGTTGAGCATATTCTTCAAATACGACCCTTTATGAGCTCCTAATGTATTGTACCAAACTGAATGTCCACCACGGTACTGAACTTATGCTGATTGACTCATCTAGATTGTGCACGTCCCTGCAAGATGTATAATTAAGACATTTTCTATCCCTCCAATACAACTTAGGCACCCTTACAAACCTTCAAGGCTCCACCTTCACCAAAGAATTCATAACCTTTTGAATTAAGGATAGACTTCGAGATGAGATTCTTCTTCAAATCCAGAATATGTCTAACATGGCCAAGTGTTATAATTGTTCCATCTAAAAGTTTCAATCTGACCGTACTAATTCCAACAATCTGACAAGGTGCATTGTTTCCTATAATCACAACACCTTTGGAAACAGTATTATTTGTAATAAACAAGCCTTATTAGGACACATATAAGAATCCAATCATCTTCCGATTTAGACTCAATGTCAGAAATAGCTAAGAGATCTCCATCAATGTTCTCCGCAAGGTTTACTTCGCCTGAAATATCCAATTGCTTCCCATATGAACTTGCAGCCATCATTTCTTTATTCTGCAATTTGTAGCAATCATTCTTCAAGTGTTTATTTTTCTTGTAGAAGTTACAAATCTGATTATTGAACTTAGACTTCGATCTGCCCCTTCCAGAACTACCATGAACAACCAGAACTTCTCCATCTCTAATCTCAAAAATCAGATGCTTCATCTTCTCTTTTGAATACAATGCATCATACACCTCCTCCATGGTGAGAGTATCACGACTATACAAGATCGTATCTCTAAATGAAGAAAACGAAGCGGGCAACGAATACAATAGGATCAAGGACAAATTTTATTCATCATACTTTACTTCTAAAGTTTCCAAATCAGCGATGATCTCTTTAAATCAGTGTTCTAAAATGCGTAATGCGTAGCGAAGCGTCTAGGCCGAGAATCAAGAATCACAAGTTTAGGCGTGTCAATGCGAAGAATAAGCGTCATAATGCGTTTCGTATTTTTAAGGTATTAAATATATTTTTATATAAAAAAAATAGATTTTTTAATATATCATAAAAGAAAATAGATTAAAAAAAAAGGATTAGGGGGGATAATGCGCGCCTAGGCACGTGCGTGCATTTTCGCGCATTTTAGAACATGGGCTGTAGTNGGGGATTAGACGGACTAATGCGCGCCTTTTAGTTAGAAAACGCATTTTTCCCGCATTTCCCAAATTCGACGCGTTTTGGTCGCGCGTCGCGCCTAGGAGGCGCATTTTCCTGTTTTTTAGAACAATGCTTTAAATACAGTCAGGTGATCTTCCAATGATCCTCTTTCTGCCATTCGATAAGAGTATAAACGCTACTTGCTTGTTAGACTTTTAGTCATGTACAATTACTCTAACTTCAACCATAAAGCAGCTACTGAATTCTCCTTCAAAACGTTCTGAAGAATAGTATTTGATAGATGAAGATGAATGTGAGAAATGGCCTTCTTATCCTTCCGTAATTTCTCATCTGCAGTCAAAGTTACAACATCTTGTCAATTCCCAGCAACGCATCATCCAAATCCAACTGTGCAAGTACTGCACGCATCTTAACCTCCTATAGCGAAAATCTAGTGTTCTGATCCAAAAACAGAATGTTATTCTTCATGGAAGCCATCACGAACAAAAATTTCGAACAAATCAAACCCTGTGTTCTGCGGAACTGCTGAATTTAGGCTCTGATACCACTTGTTATGAAACAAACCATCGGATTGAGATATTGAAATTATATGACAAATAATAATGAAATATATGATTAAGAGAAATGATAATAAATACAAGAATATGACGATGAATTAATAAATTTTATTGACTCAATAATAATGGAGAAGAGAGAAAAAATTACAATGGATCCTATAATTCTAGTAATCTATTTTCTCAACCTATAAAATTGTATAGAAGAGCCTAATATTTATAGGGAACATGTAGGGGACGTCCAAACCTTTTGATAGAATTGTTGATGAAGTAGGATGCCAAGAACTGAGTTCAAAACAAAGTAGGAGAAGAAAACGCGAAAAAACCTGAATAGAACAGGCTGTACCACGGTGCCCACTTCCGGGCTATCTGAATTTTTTTTTTCGTTCAAATTATTTTTTTCACCTCAAACTCTTATTCAAATCCAATACCAATTTTCAACTTCCCATGGGCTTCTAAAAAATAGAATTTCAACTTGACATATGACTCCAATAGCATTCCAAACTTGAATTCTCAAACACTTCAACAAAGAAATTCGGATCACACCCAAATTCCAACCGAAGCAAATCTTCCTAATTACCCTCAAACAATAAGCATTAATTCAGTCAGTAACTAATGCTTTAAGGGAAGAGCGAGTTTTCAAGCTATAACTAGATTTATAAACCCGTCATTACATGTGTAGAAAGCAAATTTTTTCTTCGTCCATGTTTTGTGTTCCCCACTTGTGGTCCAGTGAAAGTTCTTTGACAAAAATGAAAAGAGTTTTCAATGCAACTTTGTGTATATATACGTGGGCGTGAAGAGCTTGGATTCACCAACTCCTCATTTAGTAAACATACATTTTTTCGATCATGCAACTCATCAAATCCGTTCTTCTTAAACCTTTCCACAATTTTATCCATAAAGATTTTCATGAAGTTGTAGCAAGAATGAAACTTATGGATAGATTTATTTTTCTCGTAAGTTTGCTCAACTTGTTTGTTTTTGCTCGCCTAAAGAGTACTAAAACACGATTTTTGGTGCTTTTAAAATATTAGACAAGTTTTAAAGACATGCTTGTCTCGAAATTAAAATCACTACTTGGGATTTTTGGTCGTTGTTTTTACTCGTATCTCTACTTTGAGCTTTTGAGACATTACAAGTAAAATTCGCTAGTCTCAAAATTAAGAGCAACAAGATCTTTGCTAATTAATGTCTGGTATTTAGAGCCACAAGAGTTGATGTTTTGGTCTTTATTTTTCTCATCTTTTGATTTCGGAATTTCAAGACTTCGCAAAATTTGTTTGTCTACGCCTGCTTCACGATTAAAAGCAACAATACTTTAGGTAGTATGCTTTATTCATAACGAAAAAAATACAGATGGCTCGACCTAACCTCCAGCTAAAATTGGATAAATATAATCTTTTCAATATATGTTCTGCATGTTCGTTGTGTTTCATCTCATTCAAGAATACTCAAGATTTTCCCATAGATTGCAAGATTATCTTGTGATATAATACAAGTTCTTGTTTTTCCATGCAGGATATTCACTTCATCGACAAGTTAGGTATATGGCACAGGTTACCTGTGTTCTTAGGTCTGACATACCTGGCCCTGCGTCGGCATCTTCACCAAGAGTACAACTTGTTCAACGTCGGAAAATCACCGGTCGGAGTACGATATAATCCGGCCGATTATCCTTTCAGAACAGCTGATGGAAAATTCAATGATCCCTTCAATGAAGGTGCAGGCAGTGAGGATTCATTCTTCGGCCGGAATGTCCTTCCTGTTGATCAAAAAAAGAAGGTGATTTTTTACGTTTATTTAGTTCATTTAACGAAGTTAAATTTTAATGTATTAAATTTTATTACTTTATCAAGGAATTAATAACATAAATAGTTTCGAAGAATTAGTTTTGAAACTTAAAACTATTTGGAAATTTAAGAAATGGTACAAAACTTTTACTAATTCTCGATTTATTATTTTAATAAAATCCGAGAACTTTGAAGAAACTCAATAGAAACTTTTGAAAAAAAAAATTAATATATTTTTTTTAGTAAAAAATTATAAAAACAGAAAAAAGAAATGAGGCATATTAATTTGAGAACTTAGAGTATCTCCAAGTGACTCTTTAAACATATGACGCTTTCTATTTTAAAGGGCCAACTTTTAAAATCATACTTCAAGAGATTCTTTAAATTAACACCAAATTCACTCTGTATCACTAAATGCATTTAAAGTGTTTCAATTTTTAATATAGAAAAATAATAAAACAATTTAAAGAAAAGTTAGTTAAAATAAAAGATAAGAAAAATAAAAAATATTTTTTGGGAATAGTAAAATTAAGTGTTAAATATAGAGATTTTGTTGGAGTACTTCAAAATTTTAACACTCTAAATTTATATATATTTCTAAATGATACAATATACTCTTTAAAAATTGAGAGTCATATACCAAAGATTATTAAACAAATTTGAATGATAACATTGAAAATATTATTATAATAATACTAGAATAGACTGTACAAATATAAATAAATAAATTTATCACTACGTTGAAACTTCTAATAATGTAGTTCAAAATTAAAGTTTATTCATGAAACAGTTAAGAAACTATACTCCACGTCCTCCTTGGAATATAAGGTGCTCTTAGAACCAACCAGTTATTAATAAATGATTTTTTTTTTTCGTGACTGCATGAATGAATGGCATGTTTAATTATAATATGTGATTTGATTTTTATACGTTACTTTTAATATTCAATTAATGTTAAATAGCTTTCTTTAAATTAATATTTAAACAATTGGTTATTTTACTACATATTTTGTTGACCTATTTATCTATATTGAATCAGTCAACTGCCACTACAAAAAAAATGCGGTTTCAGAGACAGAATTATGTGTCGTTGAAGCTCCGAAATCCATTGGCAATAACCTTTAGAGATAGAATTCATCCGTCGATAAATCGGACGGTATACACCCCGCCGGTAAAATGAGCGACGAATTTATATTAGCCGTCTGTAATAGCGCCGGAAATAAGGTGTCGCTGTTCACCAACGAAATATTCGTAGCTAATTGGCGACGAAAATATAGTCGCTGATTTGTTTGTGATTAACGACGGTTTCATAACGGAAATATAGTCGCTAATTTGTTTGTGATTAACGACTGTTTAATAACTTGTTCCCAAATTAGCTACGCATCTGTCGTTCTTGTTTCCGTCCCTAAGCACCAACATATTTTCCTACGGTACTAATTGTTCATAAATAGCTACGAATCTTCCTTTTTTTCCGTCACTAATTACCAACATATTTTCCTATGGAAGTAATTATTCCTAAATAGGCATAGTTACAAATATTTCTTTTTTGTTTCCGTCGCTAACCACCAACATATTTCATACGGAACTATTTGTTCTTAAATAGCTACGAATCTTTCATTGTTCGTTATACTATTTCATTATATTTAATATTACGTTTCAAACATAAAACTCGTGGATGAAATAAACTTAAAATATAATAAAATTGTTCGTAATTATCATATGAACTTTTAAACCACGTCATAAAAATCTAAATGGTTAGAGAAGTATTTGCCTAAATCCTTTCAACGTGTTCTCTAGTCCATTCTTCATCAAGATTTGACCAAACTAAATTTTAAAAATAATAAATGACAGTAAAAGTTAAACCCATAATCTTATTTAATTTAGTAATAAAAAAAAAAAAATCCTAAACTACGGCTCTTTCCATTAAAAAAAAAAAAAAACATAATGTGTGATTTGTTTTCATACCCTAATTTTTTGTTATATAAAAAAAATATTTATTTTCTTCAATATTTTGCAGCTAATGAAACCGGACCCCATAGTGGTGGCTACAAAGCTGCTGGCACGTAAAGAATACATTGATACAGGAAAGCAGTTCAATGTAATTGCAGCTTCTTGGATACAATTTATGATTCATGACTGGATTGATCACTTAGAAAACACTGATCAACAGGTAATATATAAAATCATTTTTGAATCTCAAACGAATCTTGATTCATTTCATTTGTTCTTGTTGATGTTTAATGACTGTATACTTGTAGGTAGAACTGGTTGCACCCAAACAAGTGGCAAGTCAATGTCCTCTCAAATCATTCAAGTTCTACAAGTCGAAGGAGGTCTCGACTGAGCACGGCTATTATGGTATCGACACCGGCTATTTGAACCGTCGAACACCTTGGTGGTAAGATTTTTGTCACGTGGACGTCTTAGAAAATCTATATCATTATTATACGAGTATTATTATTTAGCAAGTGATATGAAAGTAAATAGCATTATTATTGGTCACATAATTCTCACCACATATATCCAATTCACAAATTCAATCTTGATTTTCTAAATTATTTATTTTTATATGATTCTCACTCCCACTTAATAAATAAATATATGAAGGGATGGGAGTTCTATATATGGTAGCGATGCAGAAACTTTACAGAAAGTAAGGACTTTCAAGGATGGAAAGCTCAAGATTTCAAAAAATGGCCTTCTTCCTCACCAAGATGGCCAAGTTATTTCTGGTGATGTTCGTAATATATGGGCTGGCCTCTCCACATTGCAAGCCCTGTTTGTCCAGGAACACAATGCCGTCTGTGATGCCTTGGAGGTGTTCAAAATTTTGCCAATATTTATTTATTCTCAGCAGTTAATTATTTATATATACTGAACTTTCTCGCTTATGGGTTGTAGAAGGAATACCCTGGTTTGAAGGACGAGGAACTATATCGGCATGCAAGGCTGGTGACTTCAGCTGTGATTGCAAAAGTCCACACAATTGATTGGACTGTTGAGCTTCTAAAGACTGACATGTTACGTGCTGGAATGCGTGGAAATTGGTAAATCATCTTCCTAATATCTACGAAAGTATACTTGGCAATAATATAACACAAACAAATGGTTTAGATTAGATACACAAAATGGTCACAAGGAGGAAATACGAAGCTGACATGGGAGTTAAGGAGTGTGTTAAAACATGTTGTGGAATGAACTTCTGTATCTAGAATTTTAATGGATCTCATTTAATTTTGTGGTTTTGGTTTTATGAAGGTATGGATTGCTGGGGAAAAAGTTTAAAGATACATTTGGACATGTTGGAGGGGCCATACTGGGCGGCCTTGTGGGATTAAAGAAACCTAACAATCATGGCGTCCCCTATTCGTTGACTGAGGAATTTGTGAGTGTTTATAGAATGCACGGCCTCTTACCAGATACTCTTCTTCTTAGGAATGTCGATGCCGCACCAGGACCAAACAAATCTCCTCCTTTGGCTAAAGAGTACGTCATTTTTCACTCATCAACTGCATATTTCATACGCTGAACTTGAATTTCTTGGCCGAAATATGCAAAATCTTGATCCCAGCTGCATCCATAAGTTGTCTAATACTTGAGAAAAATTGCAGAGTGGATATGCGTGAGCTGATTGGTAACAAAGGAGAAGAGGCCTTGCAAAATATTGGCTTTACCAGGCAAATGGTGTCAATGGGACACCAAGCATGCGGTGCCCTGGAGCTTTGGAATTATCCTAACTGGTTTAGAGATCTGATTCCCCAAGATGTAGACGGTAGAGATCGGCCTGACCCTGTCGACTTACCAGCTCTCGAAAGTACGTATAACACAAATATTTAGATTAGCAATTATTGAGGTCTAGGTAAAGCTAATACGAATAATTGGCTGTAGTTTACAGGGACAGAGAAAGGAGTGTTGCCAGATACAATGATTTTAGGAGGTCCCTCCTATTGATTCCCATTTCCAAATGGGAAGATCTTACAGATGATAACGAAGCTGTCCAGACCCTTCGAGAAGTCTATGGTGACGATGTGGAGGAGCTCGACCTTCTCGTGGGTCTCGTGGCCGAAAAAAAGATCAAGGGATTTGCTATTAGCGAGACGGCCTTTATAATTTTCCTCCTCATGGCATCAAGGTAAAACTAAAATTTATTCGTATGTCAATTGTGTTTGTTATGGTTTATATCGTACGTACATGTATATATGAAATGGTGAATTAATGCAGGAGGTTAGAGGCAGACAGATTTTTCACGAGTGATTTTAATGAAGAGGCGTACACAAAGAAAGGGCTGGAATGGGTAAACACAACTGAAAGCCTGAAGGACGTGTTAGATCGGCATTACCCTGAGATGACGAAGAAATGGATGAACTCAAGCAGTGCATTTTCAGTATGGGATTCTGCACCAGAACCACACAATCCCATTCCCCTCTATCTTCGAGTTCCTCATTGAATTATCAAGTGGAACAACTTGTGCTTTAAGCAGTGACATGTCTTAATTTTGAAAATTATGTAGTTCGACCCTAACAATACCTAGAGGGGGGGTAGGGGGTGAATATATAATTATGCGGAATTATAATTACTTTACAATTAAATAGTAACATGTCACTATTAATTATTTTCTAGATGGTTAATCGTGCAATTCAGTTATTCCTATATTGAAATACGGTAGTTAAATAAGCAATAAACGAAAAAAATTTATGAAAGCAATAAATAACACAGATCACGGAGAAACCCAATTGGATAAAAACTCCAGGCACTTTGCCACTCTACAATCCACTATAAACGATTTGTAACTTACAATCTACCAGACTAGACGACGACACGTACTATCTGATCTCATGACTGTAATTCCAACAACTCTCCTGGATTGCTCTCGCCTGCAGCAACACCTAATTTTGTGAAATCGTCTATCTCCCGTGGATGCACGAAGAACACCGCGTTCTTCAACGACTAGAACTCTAGTCACATTCCCTTGATCTTTAGAAACTCTGACAGATATGAAGGAAGCAGGAGTTTGGTATTTGGATTATGAAATTGATGTTTTTCTTACCGCCGAACAGATCACTATGTGAATAACGAAAGTTGAAGAGTAATTGATGAAGAAAGTATGAAAAGCTAAGTGTTTGCTCAATGATCAACCTCGCTCAAAACTGTTATGTGGCGTTTGATATTTATAGGTTAGGTTAAGGGATGAATGGGCTTGACAAAAATCCTTTAAAAAATGAATTAAAAATTTCTCGATAGCCAGTCGCTCACGCGAAGGAGAGGCGACGCAGTTTCTGTTTCTGACGCTTAAGACAAACCTTGGCGATAAGGTAGCGATATTCCGACGCCCTTTTTCCTTCTTTTTCATTCTTGAACCCTAAACCTAATATAACACAACTTTCTACTCTTTGCACATTACTCTTTGACTTTTATAATATATCAATTTAAGTCCCTTTTGTTCACAGACTTACCATTTACATTAAATACCTAACAAGCTCCCATTTTGGCATTCTATCACAAAATTACAATCTAAAGTCAAGGCAGTAGTGAAAAAATACATACTCAAAAATTGACACAACAAAAAACTGTATTGATTAACCTCTGCTTTTCATATATCAAAACCTATTTCTTGAAATAAACAACTCAAGTACCCAGTATAAAATGTATGTGAAACAATGTTAAGTGTAAAACCAATTTAAGCAGTTAGTCAAGCAGCACTAAGTGTAAAAATGAATAAATCAGTTAATAACTCATAATTTATTTTTTAGTGTCATATCATATGCTAAATTAAAATGTAATATCAATACAACCCAACATACCAAAATGAAACATTGATACTACAAAATATCAAAAACTTAATTAGCAATACTAAATATATCATTTCATCAAGAAGATAAAATCATATACATCCTCAAAATACTATTCTATCATAAAAAATATTCCCACACCTGCTCCCTCTTTTTGTCACAAAATAACAAGGAAATAATGTATAATCAAAGAATATCACACAAAAATACTTTACACCCTCCATTTGGATTATAATATTTTAGCATTAATACAGAATAACTCAAAAATACTATTATAAACATGCACAAAGATAAGCAATGAACAGTAAACATTCCCACATATTTAGTTTAAGTTATCATGGAGTAAATTGTATAAGCGACCCATATGTGTAAAGTGTCACTAATCCTTTGAAAATAGAACTCCAGTCCTTAAATTTGTGAAAAAGGACACGCTAAACATCACTGTCAATAAGTTTATTCCCCTGAAAGTCAAACCATTTAAAGAATAATATAACCTATAGCATAAAGCTCATAATGAACGGAAGTTCTCGCTCTCCCCCTGAGTATGAGTAGTATATTGTATTTCACATCATGCAATAAACAAAGCTAAATATTATATTTCTCATCTTAAGTGCAGACTTTTCTTCATTAAGCGACTAAAATGACCCCTGTAGCGAGCTTTAGGCCAATTAATCCAAGTCAATTGACCATAACCACTAGGTTTTGAGTAACTCTGCAAGCTTAATTACTCGAGCCAAATAGACTCCGAAGAAAAACATAAGATATTGAGCTTTTCGTATTCTTCTTTTTTAATATATATTTCGGTTAATACTAGGGATAAACTTGAGCTTATGTCTAATATTTATGGTCAATTCATGTTTAAAGTCACCTTATGAATATGTGATTGACATCCCAAATCTTACACACGCGGTAGAGTCCTACTAACAATATCATAGTGCGTGCATTGCAGATGGTACATGAAGACTCCTATACTAAGAACTCCATGAATAACCTAAGCCATCAATGGAAATGATGTTACAATTTATTGATTAGCCCCATGCCTAATCACAACAAACAGATCCAAGTATATCATATGTTAAGTTGTAAAAGCAAAAAAAAAAAAAAAATCTATGTTTTTTTAAAAAATTTTGTATTGTTTTTGTTGTTTTTTTTAAATTCAAAACAGAAAGTATAACACACAAAAAGATGACAACACAAAAAAAAATAAAAGTAAGAACATTACGAGGCCATCATAAATATAAGGCACACAATGATAAAGAACGAGCATGCATAAAAACACAATCAATGAGGTACACAAATACTAATAGCCGTACGAAGAAATTCAAATCTCAGACCATCCAATGACTTTGTAAATAGGTCAGCTAATTGGTTTTATGTAGAGACGTGATCAAAGGTTACACACGGTTCTTGACAAGCTCTCGAATAAAATGATGACGTATATCAATATGTTTGGTTCGAGAGTGTTGAACGAGATTTTTGAAAATATTAATGGCACTAGTGTTATCACAAAATATAGTCATAGTCCCTGTTCAATACCATAATCAGTCAACATTTGCTTCATCCAAAGTAGTTGTGTGCAGCAACTTCCGGCGGCTATATATTCGGCCTCTGCCGTAACAATGAGATAGCATTTTATTTCTTACTCATCCAAGCGACAAGACTAGCACCAACATAAAAGCGTCCTCCAGAAGTACTTTTTCTATCATCGACATTTTCAGCCTAATCAACATTGGAATAGCCATCAAGATCAAGAGTAGAATTCTGAGAGTACATGATCCTATAATCAACGATACCATTTACATATCTACCGATACGTCGCAGGGCGCTCAGGTGGAATTCCTTGGGATCAGCCTGAAAACGTGCACAAACCCCTATACTAGGCTATGTCAGGTCTACTAGTAGTGAAATAACGTAAACTACATGTCATACTTTTATATAGTATCTGATCAACACTCTTACCAGTAGGATCATGACCTAACTTGACACTGATGCTCATGGAGGTCCTATTATGTTTCTTGATGTCTAATCCAAAACGCTTGAATAGATTTTTTGCATATTTTGACTGTGATATGAACATCCCATCATTAATTTGTTTAACCTGGAGACCTAGAAAGTTATTTAATTCTCCAATCATACTCATCTCAAATTCTTGCTTCATGCATTCAGCGAAATCATGAGCAAGAGAATCAACGGGAGAACAAAAAATGATGTCATCAACATTTTTCTGACCTATGGTGATGGTTTCCTCAATACGTCTTATAAATATGGTTCTATCTACACTATCTCTCAAGAAACCATGTTCCATGAGATATGCAGTAAACCTATCATACCAAGCTCTGGGAGCTTGTTTAAAACCATGTAAAGCTTTATTCAACCTATAAACGTAATGCGGATATTTAGGATCAATAAACCCTTTAGATTGTTCAACATAGGCTTCTTCCTGAAATATTCTATTCAGAAAGGCACTTTTGACATCCATTTGATATAAGTTGAATCCTAAAGTACTGGCAACAACAAGAGAATTCTAATATATTCAAGTCTTGCTACCGAGACAAATGTTTAATCAAAATCTATACCTTCAACCTGAGTATATCCTTGGGCTACTATCCTAGCTTTATTTCTAGTTATAGTATTTTGATAATCGATTTTATTCTTAAATATCCACTTAGTACCTATAACATTACAATCATCAGGCCTAGGAACTAAATTCAAAACTTTGTTTCTCACAAACTGATTTAGCTCTTCATGCATAGCGTTAACTCAACATTCATCCCTAAGCGCTTCTTCGTCCTTTGTAGGCTCACTTTGAGATACACAGCTAGCATATGACAAGTTGATTAATACCATCTTTCGAAGTCTCATCCCTTCTTCTAAATCTCCAATAATATTAACTTTAGGATGGTTCGTCTGAACTCTAGACGAGGGTTCTTTAGGATGTTTAAATTTATCATCAGGTGTGGACTCCATATTAGGAGTATCTAAACCAGTAGTTATGTATGAGGGATCAGGAACTGAAGTTTCCTCTCAAATATTCCATTTTGTTGTGGAGTGATCGACGATGAGAACTCATGCTGGATTCTCTCATCCAAGCAGAAGTTCTCAAGATCCATGATCACTACGAATTCTTGATATGGTAAAGTCTTTCTCATTCCTAACTCTCTTGCACAATGAGATTATAAGATCGAACACCTCATTTTTATCTCTTAACATCTCAATCCATGTATATCGAGAAAAATCGTCAACCAAAACTAAGATATATCGTTTACCACCAAAACTTTCGGTCCTAGATGGTCCCATTAAGTCCATATGAAGTAATTCAAGTGGCTTGCTTGTCAAGATCTTACAAGTTTGTTTATGAGGAACTCTAAGTTGTTTACCTTGTTGACACGGGCCACATACAGTAGTATCAATATTTTCAAGTTTAGGTAAGCCATTTACAAGTTCATATGACCAAGCTGTTGATGAAACCGTTCAGTGATGTTAATCTTGGCACTGTTGTATACGTAGTTGGAATTAAGAACTCCATAACAATTATATGAAGTTCTCACACCTTCTAGGACAATGTTACCAGTAAAATCATATACGGTATACCTTTTCTGGACAAAACTAACTTTGAAATCAGCATCACATATTTGACTAATGTTTAACAAGTTGGACT